GGCGGGTGGAGGTGAAAGCGGTTTCGGGCGGGCGGGGGGGGCGGGAGAGCTGCAGGGGGCGGGGGGGGGCCGTGGTTGAAGGCGGTGGAGAGGAGTCGCTGGGAGAGGGAGCGGTGAGCGAAGGCCGTGGGGGTGTCACTGGAAAAATCTGCTCCAGAGCAGGGCTACAAACGCCAAGGAAGACGAACCCGCAGTGTTTTGCGTGCCCAAAATACACCGTTCATATCAGTGAAAGCAAGTCCTAAAGCTTTTGTGTGATAGGGACGCGGTTTTTACCTACCTGACATATGTTTGGTCATGAAGGTTTGACTGGCCTCCAGAAGTCTCGTCTTTGACAGGATCCCATAGAGCAGTTGCAGTACGCATTACGGAAAGGTAATTTTCAGTTAGAAGTAGAGACCTAGGAAAAATCCAGCACCGAAGCACTCTGAAGTACTAAACGTTGGTTTGGAGACCGCAAGGATGTTTTGGAGGACAGAGTTGGAGTAAGGAAAATAGTTATTTATTTGAATACTGTATTTTATTTTAAGCTCGGTCAGAGTTTTATTCTGACTAACTGTCCAAAGTTGCTGGTAGCTATTTCAGGAACTTAGTAATTGCATCTCTGCTAGTGGGTAATTCTAGAAGACTAGCATTCTTGATGTAACAAGCTATATATACTGAGAAGAAAAACAAACGAGGATGAGGATGCAGAATGTGGCAGTATAATCAACCACACTGCATAGTCTGTGATTAAAAATATGGTTTTCTTAAAAAAAAAACAAAACAAACAAAACCCCCCCAATGTCATGGTTTAGTCCCAGCCAGCAACTAAGCACCACACAGCTGCTCGCTCACTCCTCCCTGTCCAGTGGGATGGGGGAGAGAATCGGGGGGAGAGGGGAAGTAGAACTCGTGGTCTGAGATAAGAACAGTTTAATAGAACAGAAAGGAAGAAACTAATAATGATGATAATAATAATAAAATGACAATACTAATAATAGTAAAAGGATTGGAATATACAAAACAAGTGATGCACAATGCAATTGCTCACCACTTGCTGACCGATGCCCAGTTAGTTCCTGAGCAGCGATCCCCCCAGGCCAATTTCCCCCAGTTTATATACTGGGCATGATGTCACATGGTATGGAATACCGCTTCAGCCAGTTTGGGTCAGCCACCCTGGCTGTGTCCCCTCCCAACTTCTTGTGCCCCTCCAGCCTTCTTGCTGGCTGGGCATGAGAAGCTGAAAAATCCTTGACTTAGTCTAAACACTACTTAGCAAAAACTGAAAACATCAGTGCGTTATCAACATTCTTCTCATGCTGAACCCAAAACATAGCACTGTACCAGCCACTAGGAAGAAAATTAACTCTATCCCAGCTGAAACCAGGACAGCAACCAAAAGAGATCTCAGCATTGAATATCTTACTTCTATGGGTGCCAGTAATGCAGACCTTGAATAAATAACTTGCTTGCTTGCATGCATGTCAATTTCTATTTTAAAAATAGTTGCATTAAGGGTGGGGTTTTTTGTTTTTTTTAATGTACATAGTGTATTTCAAGAAACTGTATGTTTGCAGTGTTATGCAAAATGTTGCTGGTGAATTTAGATTATTACACCATCAAGTTTTCCTCCGGCCAGTCATGAACTTTTAGCTTGGGCAAACGCTTTCCAGAAACAGCTAACATACCATATTAATGCCTGTATTTTATGAACCTAGGAAAGTGCAAGTAAAATCTAGGGACTCAAAAGGAGGGCAGTAAAGATGGAGTCAGGCTCTTCTCTGTGGTGCCCAGTGACAGGACAACAGGCAGTGGGCACAAGCTGAAATACAGGAAATGCCATTTAAACGCAAGAACGTGGTTGTTTTTTTTTACTGTGAGAGTGGTCAAACACTGGAATAAGTTGTCTGGGGAGCCTATGGGGTGTCTATCCTTGGAGTTATTAAAAAAACTGACTGGAAAAGGCCCTATGTAACTTAACCTGTTTAATTTGACCCTGCTTTGAGGGTCGATGTGATCTCCAGAAGTTGTTTTGAACCTTACCTACTCTATATGGTACTCTTCAACAGTAATACTAAAACTGCAGAAAAAATATTTATTTGAGGAGATGCAGAAAGACCAACAAAGTAAGAATGACAACACGTTTTTACTTTATTCTTTCTACTCGCCAACTGCTGTGTTATCACACGAATATTAAAATTTTGTAACCAAGTGTTCGTCTGTTAGCAGAACAGATCTTTTCATTACCGGTTTGATATTTCAGACTAAGCATTTCTTAATACAGGTATTATCACAGAAAATTGTGATCTATAAATTAAATGGGGCAAAACTTGATTAATAGAAAGAAGGAAAATACATCTTAAAATTGTCAGGTATTTAGATACAAATTCTTAAATTGTTAAGAGAGTAACAGCTGTTTAGAATTTGCTGCCTTTCACTGGGGAATATCAAAGGCAACACAAAATTTATTCCTGTGTATTTATCTTTGACTGTGTATCAGTTGGGGGGTTGATTCTCACAAAAACCAGAAACTGCATTTCTTTTTCAGACACAGGAAATGGTGAACAGCTGTATGAATGTCCAATGTGCAGTCTTACCTGTACAAACATTCAGATTCTTGAAGAACATGTGGATTTACACTTAGAGGAACATAGCTTTTCAGAAGGTACATGAAAGGATACAGGCTTGATAATACTTGAAAGCATTTACAAGTATTTGCGTGTTGCAGTATAGAATCTCAGACAAAATTTAAACTAAATATGTCCTTATTTAAAAAGAGAACTGGACACATACATAATGAAGGTAACAGCTAATAGCAAGTTCTATCAATTGCCCAAGTGCTCTACTTAATTGCAAATGCTAAAAGAAACATTTGTCTATGCATGCTTGTTAAGTAAATGTACTGTATGTTAGCCAAAACCAAAACTTCCAATGAAATATGTTTAAAAGACAGCCATATTATATTTTTTTTTTCTAGCTCTATAGAAGGTTTACATACATGGAATTTAGAGTGGCACATTCCAGTGTGATGAGCTGAAAATCTATAGCTTATGAAAACTTCAATTTTTTTTCTCAGTTCTTTTCTCTAAATGCTTGTGCTGATTCATTAGTCATAGCGGTAAAATAAAGTAAAGGAATCAAAATTAATTTTATTTATTAGCATGGCTAATAAAATCCTAGAGATTCCCTATCCAGTTCACTGATCCTAAATTTGTTTTTGTCACTTTGTTAAGAGACTGGTGGCAGTGATCCTAGAAGGTAATAAGTGTGTGGTATTCAAGAAACTGGGACTTCTGCTAACAGTGAAGTGAAACATAGTAACAAAAGCTGTTTTCTAAGTAGTAGAGGTACATGCATTATTTGCCAAGTAATTGCTCCTGCAACTGCATAAACTTTGTCCGAGTCAAGAGTCTGAGTCTTGGGAGATTGAATGCAGTCACTTCTGTTTAGTGTTTGTTGCTAATAGCTCAAAATAATGTGGGATGCATCTCCTAAAATTAATGCCCAGTTGTGTTTATGTATGTCTGCTTAGAAAAGAATCTTTAAAAATTAAATAAATGATCCATCAAAGCATTGTTAACCTCCTGATCAATTCCTCTGTCTTTGGAATGTTATTCCTGGGTAGGTGGAAACATAACAGATCTAGAACTGGCTCAATGGCTCCAAACTGAAGAAGATAAACAGCAGAGATCAGAAGAGGAGAAGCGAGAGAGGGAAGAATTTAAAAAGCTGCAGGTACAGTGATATTTCTAAATGGTAAAATTTTGAATGGTTGTGCCATTAGAAGCTGAGTATCTTGGAACTGTAATGACCTGGAATGGCCATACCAGGTCAGAGCTGTGCAGTCAGATGGGCTGTGTTGAGGTAATAGCGCAGGAGTGGGTTGCAGACAACGTGGCTCAGGTTGGGGCTGGGTGCTCCCTGTGCATGCCGTACTGCTCTCACTGGGGGCCCCAGCACGCCTGCCGCCTCATCTCGTACTGTGCTCTGCTCAGCCCTAGCGCTGTGCCTTGCAGTGCAGCCTGGAGCATAATCCCTGGGAGGGCAGCTGAGGCCCTGAGCATCCTGGCTATCCTCTTGCTGGATACCATCACCTGCTCCAGTGACCACTGCCCTGCTAGGTCCTGCTCCCCTCTCCCTCCCACCTGACAGCCCTGATAGCTCATTTCCCACTCTCACTACTTCCTGGCCATTGACTGTCTCTGTGCCAATGGCTCTCTGCTCAAGAGGGAGCATAGGGACGTGCCTGCTCTTCCAGGTGTGGCTTTCCTAGTACCACGTTCCTACTGAGGAGTGAAGCTTGGCCTTCAGCTCTAAAATATCATAAATCTGAAGTTTTTATCTCACAGTTCACTATTTTTCAAAGTTGCTGGTTGTACATGCAGCTTCTCGAAATCGCTAGATGTGAATTTTTAAAAAATGTGATTTAAATCATGTACATTCCATCCCTAACAGAGACAGTATGGCTTGGATAATTCTGGAGGCTACAAGCAGCAATTCCTAAAGAATATGGAAAGGGAAGTTGATAGAGGAAGGATGCAGCCTTTTGAATATCACAAGAGAAAAGCTGACATGATGGAATGTTTGGCTTTTGGTATAGATGATGGGAAGACAAAGACCTCAGGTAAAAATGCTGAAATCGTATACAACTAAGACTACTTTTTAGACCTAGGTTGTAGTGACCAAACCTGTCTTTAACAAAGCATGTAATTGGATGTTTAATATTAGTTGCATCCTAATTCTAATCCTTATTTTCTAGATCAATCTATATCATTTTAGTCCTAAACTAATAAGCAAATTAGAGCTTGGTATGTTTCTAATCTTTATTCTAACCTGAAGACTTTTTTTCTTCTTTTTTTTTCTTTTTTTTCTTTTTTTTTTTTTTTTCTACGGAACCTTGGAACCAAGTTGTCTGGTTAACGGCCCAAATACAATGGTTTGGGTTGGAAGGGACCTTAAAGATCATCTAGTTCCAACCCCCCTGCTATGGGCAGGGACACCTTCCACTAGACCAGGTTGCTCAAAGCCCCATCCAACCTGACCTTGAACACTGCCAGGGATGGGGCATCCACAGCCTCTCTGGGCAACCTGTTCCAGTGTCTCACTACTCTCACAGTGAAGACCTTCTTCCTTACATCTAATCTAAATCTACCCTCTTTCAGTTTAAAGCCATTATCATATGTATCAAAAGATGCAAATGTCTTATTACAAGTTGGTTGTCCCTGGGTGTGTGCTTGTTTATTACTTAGTACTCATTGGTTCCTAAGCTAGCGTAGTTGTTAAAATTTAGAGCAGCTATTTATCTTGTGTTTCAGTTAGTCGTAGTATCATGTAAGCTGGTCCCAGGTAAGCACAGTGTTCACCTGATTACAAAGTCCAAGAGAGGACTGGGAGGAGTAGACATCTACTTGATACATCTTCTTTGAAATGTTTTATAATTGGTACAAAAATACAGTGCCAATGCATTTCTATGTCCCTTTCAAAAGCCTTCCTTGCTTTACTTGCCAAGACCACAGTTCAAAAGTCTTTTAGCTTGTTGCTAGTGGTTCTAGCTTACAAAATATTCATTTGGCTCTTGACAGGTAAAAGAAAATTTCTTCTATAAAATGTATTGAGTGGAAATAATACATTTAGAGTTTTCATTCTTGGTAATGATTTAGACTTCAGAGAGGAATTCAGAAAATGATGGCTATGGAATAATTGTCTTCACGATAGCATGGCAATAAAGGGCCTTTGAGAATTTACATATACAAATTGGAGAGAGCATTCCCAAGCATGTTCTTTTATGTAACAAAGGAGGATTTGGAATATCCTGCCAGTAGATTTTTTTTTTTTAACATATTTACAGTTATTCTCAAATTCTGTGCCATTCCTTTTCTTGTCTTAGTTTCTCCAGGGCAAATAATTCAGGGGGAATAAAAGGATTACGTAGTATGCATCAGTATTTCCATGTTTTTATGGGGATGTTGTACTGGAGGTGGCAGTGGCATAGAAATGCTTTATTGGTGACATTACTTTTCCTGTTTCATTGTAATAGTTCCTGTGCTTATCACAGTTTATAACGTAGCCCAAGCTGTTTAGTTTAGAATTGTCATTGTGTAGCAGCAGTGGAAAAAATAGATTGAATTCTGAAAGCTTCATAGTACATAAATTCATCAAAGTAAAGACTATCAAAATGAAATAGGTGCAGTGTCCACTGGTTTTGTGATTTGGGTTCTAGATGTAATGTAGGATCACTTAGAAGCTTTAAAATAAATTGTCATAATCTGTGTCTGTTCCAAGCTGGGGAAAGAATCTTTTTCTGGCAGATTTTGTAGTTCATTTTACAGATAAACTTTATATTTGGTCTTCTCTTAGGAGTCATTGAAGCATTGTGCAAGTACTATCAGAACGAAAACAAAGATGTGAGGCATGTGTGGCTTTCAACAGGAGTAGATCACTTCCACTCATCTTTGGGCGACAGAGGCTGGGGTTGCGGTTACAGGAATTTCCAAATGCTCCTTTCCTCACTGTTGCAAAACAGCTTGTATAATGACTGCTTGAGAGGTATTAAACAAAAAGCTGCCTGTTTGTTTCACGTACCTCGGATGACAACCTACTGACTGATGTTTTACCTTTTCATTTACACAGCAAGGCTTATTAGGTCAATGTTACCTATTAAATGCTTGTTATACCACTGGAACTTGCTGTGGAAAGAATCAGAGGGGTGAATACTGGCAAGGCATGATGTGGTTGAAGTTTTAGCTTTAGGTTTTTTGGTGCATCTTTGTATCATCAACTGCCTGTAGTAAAAGAAGCCGAATATTTTTAATTAATACACTATTTCAGTAACTGTAGCCACAATTCAAAAGCTTTTTCTGTTCCAGATACTACACTAATTCCTAGTATACCAAAGATTCAGTCCATGATTGAAGATGCCTGGAGAGAAGGCTTTGATCCTCATGGGGCATCTCACTTCAACAACAGGTTACACGGTTCCAAAGCATGGATAGGAGCATGTGAAATTTATTCACTGTTAACCAGTCTCAGGATAAAGTAAATATTGCTTTTTGTTGTTGTTGTTGTTGTTTTTATTTTTAAGTGCTGATTTAAGTGCTGTACCTTTAAAGGTCAGAATTGCGAATGGTGTGATGACAAAGCCACGTTAGTGGCTTTAAATTTAATCAACCTATAACAGATGTGATTTAGCGCAGTATAAACCTGTGTAACTACTTAGGCAGGTACATAAATTGAATAACTGCTTAGATCATTGAGACTTGATGAACAATGATGCCATGTATGCATAAAATCAAACATTGATTAAAAACTTAATTTCTTTTAGAAGTTTATTCTCAAGAAGAGTCTGAATTTCAACTATTAACTTGCATAATTCTGAAAGCTGTTAATTGGATTCTCTAGTGTACATGTATCACACAAAAAAATCAAACATTTTAATTTTTGCAAGTTTTACAAGTTCTTGTTAGACTGAACAGAGTGTTTCTTTGTTACAGAATAAATCTTCCAGTTTTGAACAGTATATATTGCATTGCTTTGTAATTGTGTCCCATACTCCTGTATTTAAAAAAAAAACAAAACAGTGGTAATGACTGCATGACGCCTGGAATTACTGTGTTTACAATTGCAGGAGGAAAAGACTGAGAGGTGAAAAAGTTGTTTTAACAAACAACCTCTTGAAATTTTATTGTTGTTTTCATTCTAAATGTTCTGTAGGTGTCAAATCATTGACTTTCACAAACCAACTGGCGCTATGGGTACACACCCTCGTTTATTTGAGTGGATTTTGCGTTACTATTCTACAGATAATGAAGGTGGTGCAAAGGTAGCGTGTACTTCCAAACCACCTATCTACTTGCAACATCAAGGTCAGTATCACAATATGCTGGTTTCTTTCTCTTCTCTATCTTTCTTTATATGTGCTGCAATTCAGAGCAGCATTTTATGTTCCTTCTTCATTTAAATGAAGGCATGGCTTTATTTCCTGTTATTTTTTATTTAATAAGAGCAATATTAAAGTTTGTATTTTTATTGGATGGAAGAGCTGGGTGTGACTGGGATCTCAACTTTTTGACATCTGCTCTTTGCTTATAAACTACCTTATTCAATTTCAATTAATATCTTCCTTGATCTGAAAATAAGTAGTATGCTACAAGGACTGGGATTTATGTGGTTTTAAAATACTGAAACTCTATTCTGAAATTAGGTCATAGTCGTACAGTTGTTGGAATAGAAGAGAGGAAGAACAAAACCTTATGTTTGCTACTGTTTGACCCAGGATGCCCTTCACAAGAAATGCAGAAACTGCTAAAACAAAACAGTGATGGTACTAGTCTCAAACTCCTTCGGAAATTTGTGGGTAGCTTAAAAGAAAAGCAATACCAGATAGTGGCTATAGATGGTGTACTCTCATTGGAAGAGAAAGCTGTAAGTATTTTGGAAAATAGTTTCTGTCTAAGAAAATTTAAGAGAATCTGCATCTCTTCTCTAATAGTCAAATGCATATGCATATGTGGTTGTGTGGTGAATTTTTTTCATCTCCTCACTTTCCTCGTTCTTCTTCTCTGCTGCTATTTGCTTATTCTCTGTGAATTGAGTAATCACAGGATACCAAGACCAAGGAAGTTTTGCATGTAAGTGCATGCCACCTTGATGTAACTGACAACGTCTAAATCTTTCATGAAGCTTGCAGCTGTTTGCACATGTAAATTAGGCTTTTTTTTTCTTTTTGTTTTCTTACAATGTTTTATCCTAAATAGCTTATTGTGGGCATATAAGGTACTTGCAAACCATTCGTATTCCAGAATTATCTTCAGGTTTTTTTACTGCAACTTTGTAAAGCTATGTGGTGTCTATCAGCCTTTGATAGTTGAAGAACAAGGCGTGCAGATAATGAGGCCTAACCATCCCATGTCTCCGCAGCTTTGACATTAGAACTAGTGCATTCTGCTTTCTGGAAGTACTTAGAACTTCATATATTCAAAACGCAGCTCTGAGCAACTTGTATGTTTGAGCTGTTGGCATTTTTATAAATCCGATCCACATGTTTCACTTTGGGCATTGTAACTTTTTAAGACCGTAGAAGTTTTCAGCTGAATGTCAGATGTAAGTTTTGTTTATTAAGCTTTCTCTTTCCTACACTAACAAATTGATTCTGAGGACCCATGTTCCAATTCTGTGGTGTCTTATCAGCACCATTCAGTGTGTTCAAGCTTCAGGACAGACTTCTATGTAAACTAGGAAATAACTGGTGACTGAGTCACCTGCTCAACTGTATTTAACATCTGTATATTGAAATGAGGTATTGTCTTAAGTGTTTTCTGGCCCCAAACGTGTCAGAAATATCAGTGAAACACAGCCATCCTGTCTTCCTCCTGCTGGCAAAAGCTTTAAAATTCAGGATACAGTAAAAAGAAGAGTGTTGTGTGGGATTTGTGTGTGGGATTTTGTTTGGTTTCAGTTTTTGTTTCCTCTTTTCAAAGATTTGATTTATATTTAAAAATACCAGTTATTTAGAATTTTGTCTTGAAAGCTCCTATGTAATTAAGATGAAATATGACCCCTTATACTTGTTAAGCTTACTAAACTACTGATTTGGAAAATGGTCTTTAAAGTGGTATTTTTGTTCATTAAACTATTCTCTTTCCCCTCTCCCCACCTATTTTTAGGCTCGCTGCCATGATTCTCAGGTCTTAACATCAGAGAAGATTCCTTAAAGGATGTCTTTATTACCTCTTTCTGGAACTTGCTGGATGCAAAACATTAAACTTGCAGACTGTGACCCTAACTTAACAATTCCTAGACTTAAACTATGTCTCCATAAATAGCTGGGGGCTCTGGAGAAGCACAACGCTGGAGTGAACCTGTAGTTTTGATCTTCAAACAAAACTCTGCCCTCCTGTTGAATCTGTAACTGAAGTATTACAGTCCTTGTCTTACTAGAAAATTTGGTATTTTCTTAGTTGCTCAAATTACCAAGCAACACCTACCATCCCATAGGAAACTATGCACTGTAGATAACTGTCAGGAAGCAGTGGATAAAGATACTATGGAACTACTTTATTGGAGTACCTGGTCATGGTTTACCTCTGTAAATATGTTTATGCTGCCTCTGTGGCCAGTGCCCTATTTCTTACCAAATTTGATCAACAAATATCTATTATGCCTCAGCAAATTCTCCTGCAACTATTTGCAAAGTACAGAGACAGTTCAGTGATTTCACAATACAGTCTGTTCCACCAGGGATTAGTTTACTACTGAACTTGTAAACATGAGCATGTGTGCTTACGAGGTAGTTCAGTGTTAGCGTTGGCTGTGAGGTGTAAGATAGTGGTGGCCAAAGTGGGGTGCATGTGCTTTAGGGGCTGTGCAAGAGAATCCATTGGGTATAGAAAGAAAATACTTATTTTGTACCATGAAGAAATAAAAAATATTTTTTAAAATATGTATTTCATCTTTATTTCATCCTTTAATTTCTATTTTTGTCTGTGTTTTATAATGTATATCCCCTGGGTCTGAGAGGCATCTCAAAAGGACATTTGAACTGACTGTTGACTAGAGGCTTTATTGTGCAGGGTTAGTGCCATTTAAGAGACTGGAGCTAGCTGCTGAAACAATTATCTTGGGTGTCTGAGGCACCCTGCTGTATCTGAGACATCCTGCCCTGGCTGTAATGCCTCTCCAGCAGGGCAACTGGAGGCTGGGAGGGATGGTCAAGTGTGTTGCAAATAGCACTAGATGCCTTTGCTTAAGCAACTGAATCATCCCGTAGCATTTGTTTACTGTAGCTAGAGCTTAGATGCTTCCCTTTCGTTTACACTCTCTTCCATGTTGACATCTAGATGTAGGTATCTTGCCATTAACCTGTTTCTGTCAAGTTTAATATGCTCTGGCAATAAGAACTAGTAATTTTTGGAAGCAGTGAAACACATGAACATGTAAAGATATTACAATCCCATAAATAAAAAAAAATTCTGAAACATGCATGAAAGTAAAACACTTACTTATGAAAATATATTAATTTCAGTAGGTATGTAGAAGTGGCCTGTAACCTGCTGAAATATTTAGGACACTGGAGGGGCTAAGACTAGGCACAGAGTTCCTGGGAATTGGGGGACCATCAGCTCACCTATTAGCCCCAGTCTGTGTGGCACATGTTCTTATACCATGTGAAGTTCTGCAGCCATGCGATCATTTAACTTCTCACGGATACACTTCAATCTCTTCTGCACTGTTCCCTCACCTGCCCTGTGACTGGGGCTGAGTCTGTTCCTGGCTAAGCCTCTGCTAATTCCAGACTGAGCATGTTCTTTACCCATCTGACACTGTACCCTGATGCACTAAGTGTAAGAAGCAGGAATTGCAGCTCAGCCCCAGCTCTTCACTTAAGTGTTCAAACTGCCATTGGGACTAAGCTGGTGTTTCAGTGAAATGCTTTAACATGCAAATTTGAAGTATCTCTTTCTAATGGCTTGTACATGCTGTTTGATTCCTCCATAACTGCCATGGGGCAGCTAGATTATAAGTAAGCAGAAGAGTGGGAGGCTCACTTGATCCAGCCGAAGATGCCTCTGCAAGGGCTCTTGCAGTGGCAGTTCCTGGCACCACCTGGACAGCAACCAACAATTTGAGATACTTGAGTCCTTGTGTAAGCACAAACTTATGCCAAGGTCCTCCAAAATTTTGTTGTGTTTTGTTTTGGTTTATTGTGGGGTTTTTTATTTGTTTGTTTGGGTTGTTTTTGTGTTTCTTCGTTCTTGTTTTTTTAACAAGCACTCTGGTATTGTCAGAGCAACACAGGCCTAATTACAGATTTATTAAGGTCAAGTTCCTGGTGTCACTTGTTTCAGCTTGACCCCAGGAATGCCATGTAAAGGTCTGACCAACCAAGGTAATCATGGTAGAACAAACAATAGCCTTTTCAGGGAATTGCAGCTGGGGCAGGGTAATGGGGTAACTTTCAAACATTAGCTGGACACCACTGGAAAGAAGACTGGGGGGTAACAAAACATTAAAACAACCCTAATGAGATCCAGGACTTACAGCCTGAATCACTACCAAAAGTTTGCCCTGAGAGAGAATGAGTGCATTTGGGCTCAATGCTAACTAAAATAACTGCTTAAGGGATGTTGCCTCTTATCACCAGACTCCCCTAGGTTCACAGAAGCTGAACTTTTTATCTTCTTTGCAAATAGTTGCCTCAGAGAAACAACAGGATCCTGTTTGGATCTGTTTGCAAGACCCTAAGTATTTGGTTAACCACTTGGGTGAAGAAACTGATGGCGTGTTTCTGAAATTCCAAGAAGGACTTTGATCTGCTTTTCTCTTCCCAGGCAGCAGGGCAACAGAAGGAGTAGTACACTTTTGTAATCAGAAGTAAATGACAGAGACTTGTCATTGCTGGGGGTCCTAGCTGCTCGTGTTCAGCTGCAAATTGTGTTCTCCAAAAAAAGCAGTGAAGGAGTGTCTGCGAACATATGTAAGAGTGGGCATAAACTGATTACTGAAAGGCCTCCTGAGTCTGCTATACAGCGAGTGCTGAAGCAGTTTATTCTTTACATGGAGTAAACTAACTCTCGGAAAAGCTTCAGGGGATTGTTGTGATAATTGCCATTTGGGTTTGTCAGAAGCTGTAACTGTTTTACCATGATTTTGAAAATGTGTTCATTTCTCCTTGGGAAAAATGTCAAAACTCTTTGTAAATTCAAAATTTTGGGGGCAAAATGTTTCATTCTTTTTTGTCTATTTATACTCAATTTATCTTATATATGACTTGTCCAAGTACTTTTTTATATACTATAATACTAGGAAGTTATAGAGACTTCCATGTGAACATTATTTTGAAAATCAAGTCATCTAATTCTAGTATGCTAGTAATATTCTGCTAATTCTAGTGTTTAATTCTAATTCACATTGCTTTATAGATAAGCATTTTCAGATTACATGTTCCTAATTGAAGGTTCCAGTGAAAAAATGTGGATTTTGGTGACCCCTAGGTTTTTCTCACAGAAACAATTTTAACGCATTCTGATTATTCTCTTAGGCTACCTGGCAGTGAATTTCATTGCACCCTCCAGCCCTGAAAGTGATGATTTCCTCTGTGCAGACAAGAGCTCACCTGTACAGGGTGTTTTCAAGCATTTTATTTCAGTACCGTTCCTTTCCTTTCTGCAGGTAGCATGGGGAAATCCCAGGGAGTTGTGCAGGAGGCATCTGTAGACTGCAGAGAAGGGATAAGTTTTAATTCCGTCTCATGGTTATATCATAATAGTTTTCATACACAGAGAATGTTCAGACAATGCTACATGGGTTACACTGTGTTTTCCGTGCAAGCACAGCAAATAAAGGTTTTTTATATTTTTTTAATGGCAGTCAGATTCTACAGATGAAAAGTTTAGAGAAGAGTGTTACTTTGAAGAACTACTGCCATTTGAGCCCTAATTATAAAACCAGTATTCTTCATACCATATGTATTGCTAAGCAGCAAGTGCTGAGAGGGCTCAGGTTCCAGCTGGGAACCATTTGTTTCCTAAAAGCTGTCAGGTGTCATACATCAGTGCTTCATTACTCTGTAGTGTCAGCACAAAGTCAGCATTCATCTCTGCCTATTCTAGCATCTTGGGTGATAAATTCACCCTCATGGAGAATTTGTACCTGTTTCTAAATCGCATCTAATTAATGTTTTGAGGTAATATATCTTCCCTGAGTTTAAAAGAAAAAATTTGTTGCAGACTGTGTCTATAGAAAATTTAAGGATAGGTTAGTCATCTTTATTCATTACTTCAAAAGCATAATTGGGTTAGAGAAATCAAATCTGGAGGATTTCCTGAAGAGAGAAAAGACAAGGGTTTATCCATTGTCACTTAAGCAAAGCAGTTACTATTGTGTAAAATACTAAGTTTCTCCCAAATAAATAGAAGAAGAAATATCGTGAAGCTCTTGCTTGAGGAAGGAACACAACATCGGTATGCAACCGCTCCCTGATCAAGTTTCCTGCTTTTCATGCAGCATATCCATACCCGACAGTGACCCATTCCGTGTACTATGTAGAGAGATACCTCCGCACACAGAGGAACTGGGGAGAAAACTCAGTTCTTTGTCACTCTTGCCCCATCATGGAGGCTGGCAACATATTGCTTGTCAGATGATAGGTGAGGCCATGGCTAATGTGCAGTGCTATCATAGTTTGCCAAAAGATAATGCTTTCCAGCTGCACAGATGAATTCCAAAAGTTTATTAATTTTTTTACCTTTAAATGTGTACTTTGATTTAGATAATCTGAAACCAAAGGTAGCTGTTAAACGATGTGTTTATGAGGTATTATTGCACCTAAATAAATAATATGATCATAAAATAGCCTTCAGGGGCCTTTATTTTCTTTCAGGAGACTATGTGGGCTCAGAATATTTTTGAGTTTAATATTTTCTGAAGAAGAGAAGGCATGGAAATAAGGGCTAAGAATCTATGGCAGGGATTTATTTTAAATAACATGGACCATGACCTCATTTGTTTGCTATGCGCTTGCTTTACCATTTAGCTCCAGGAAAGGAGAGAGCAGAGGGGTAGGAGAGAATGTTATTTCTGCAACTTGTTTAGAGATAATGCATTATCAGCCCTTGTACTTAACACATGTTGCCAGCATAAACTCCTCCTCCTTCATGTGAATGGTGGATGTAGGAGCTTTTGAAGCCTTGCTTCTTCCCCTTCCCTTCTCCACCTCCAGAGTCTGACAACAGAAGAAAGAAAACAAAAAAACCCAAACCCAAAATTGACAAATAAAAGTTTCAGCTCAAGGTACTGTTCTTTTGGATGTGGTCTGATAAAGCAGCTGTTTTTGCCAGAGGGTTTACTCGTGTATCTGTATACTATAAATCACAGTGGGTTCACATCTGCAGCTCGTATAGCTATGTAAATGTACAAAGCTACCTACATATTGGGTGCATCATGCCTACAGTTTTGCACCGACAAGAAAGGAGGGTTGTGGGGTGACAGATGTGGTAAGGAATGATCTCACATCCTCCTTCTTGTGGAAGTGTTAGAGTGCAAGGAGGAGTCCGCATCTAAATCCAACAGAAATTTTTTTCTGCAAATGTCACTACCTGGTTCTTTATTTGGTACTGTTACTCATCTTTCTTTTTTTCCACAAACTTTGAAAAACCTAGCCTTTATGCAAATCAGATCAACAGCTCTTACTTACTCGAGTTTCATATATTTCAGTCTCTTGTAGCTATGTTATGTGAGCAAATTAAAAACAATATACAAGTGCAATGATATTCATTGCCTTCTCCTTCTTAATTTCCTTGTGGGTAAGGAAGAGGATATTTGAAGTCATATCTATGGCTGTATCAGCCTCAGATCCATGATATGATCCATC